TGTAATGCAAGCATAACAATTGTTGACTACTCAAGTATACATTCCATAACTGTACCTTAATGATTAACTGTAAGTGTTTCAAGTGTAAATTTGGATTACTTTAACAGACAGAGTTTTATCCTACAATAACTGAGCTTATTAACAAACCTATTAACTCAGATAGTAATAGTCTCTGTCTACAACAAGGGCTGCATAAGAAAATCTGTAGCAAGAGACTAGTATAAGTACACATTGACCCAGGTTGACCCCTGACCTGACCTGACCTGACCCACTTTGACCTGACCCAGCTGGGTCAGACAAGGTCAGGTCACAGGTCAGGATTTTTGGAAAATTCTGACCTGGGTCAGGTCATGGGTCAGACTAAAAACCCTCCTGACCCGACCTGACCCGACCTTGCGTATCACTAGTGGACTGTAGCGAAAGACACCATCCTGTGCCATGTCAGCCTCTGCCACAAAGACGCACAATAAATACAAAGTGACTATTGTATCTCCTTGGACGATAGATTTCTCAAGAGAATTCTGCATTTAGTCACCATCTAACGGAAATGCCGGATTCTGTCCACTACTAGGCCTGAGAGATCGTCGCCGAGTTTAGAAGCTAAAATCCACATAACAACAGACCCACGTGTACGTCCTTAATATATCACCTGGAATATATCACTTACAACTTGATTCCCTGCGCCTCCGGTCATTGCTAATGAAGGACCTTGTATGGTTCTTCAAAGAATGTTCACTTTTTCCGCCTGCAGTTCAGGTCGTTTTCGATCATGGGAACACTAAACAATCATAGCTCTCCCGAATGAAACATGGCCAAAGACACAGTGTGATTTAAAGATATTAGACCACAATGGTAAAGTGAAAATAACAAACGAATGAATTGCGACAGAAAACTGTAGCTGCGAGACATCAGGTTATGTACACTATTTAGCCTCGAACACTTGAATTAGAAGTAAAAATTGATTGGGCCGGGTTCTTGATAGAACCAGCAGACAGTCATTTACATGTAGAAGCCAACTGTAAAACGTATCCAGACGGTTCATTCATATATATGATCATCACAAATCCAAGGAAATGGTGTTTGTCGTCAAGCAGTATACGAAAGTAAAAAATAAAAGTAAATGTAATTGCATGTCATATGCAGCTACTTTTCTCTAACAAGCAAAACAGAACTTTATTCCCTTCAAGTAAAGCTAGTTGAAGATAACAGAGTCTTAGATTGTTCCTCTGTCAACACCATGACAGGCATCGAGTTATGCTGATTTTTTCGTTTTGAGTTTCAAATTTTGCAGACAAATTATATCAAGGACTATCGGATATGTGATCAATCTTCAACATTATTATTCACTCCGTGTCTTTTCATCGTTCTGTTGCAATTTAATGCCTAAGGCATTCTTTTCGCTGGAGGCCCATTATGAAGGAGGTTCTCAGCCGAGCTCTTGCTGTCCGAGTTTTAGAGACACAATATGTGTAAAGTATTTTTCTTTCAAGCTATTGACTAGACAAGAAAATGCTTTTCCCTCTGGATATCAGACGAACCAGTGGAAACTTGAATCATTCACAAGGAATCACTGTGGAACCGAGGGCGCAACACTCTTCCAGAATCTGTAACCCAGCGGAGCAATTAGTAACCTAAACGATCTATAGAGCCAGTGAAAAAAAGTATTTGCACTGACTCGCATCGCTCCAACAATGCCGGATCAGTCGTGAAGGGCCGAATATCCGGCTGGAAGTCTTCAGTCCTGTTGAAGAGCATTTCCGTGTTTCCTTGACTAAACGTTTTCCAGGCCGGAGTGATATCATTGTTAACAGGGTGTATATTAGGGTCCCCAAATTTGACGAATCCGAGGAACGAGCCTGAAAAAGAAGCAGAGAACTGAGGATTTTTGAACGGCGGGCCACTACGCAAAGAATAATCATCAGACATTGTATATGACCAACCGACGAAGGTAAAATGTGCTCACATGGTTCCAGGGAAGTAGTAGGCTACATCATTGCCGTGCTCGCCCGGTGGCACAGCAAATAAGCCCTACAGAAATGTTCTAGACCCGAGGTAAGTCGATGAAGCGAATGAATTACCTTATGAGAACGCCCAGGGAATGCCGAAAGTAAGCGATACGTCGGACAAATGAAGATAGCTACTACAGGTTAACAATGGTGGTGTCCACATCAAACACCGAGCTTACATTCTCCCATAATCGCAATTGCTTGATCGTTGACGGTGTTCAGTCCGATATTCGTATACTGCTGCACTGTTTCCTCAATCTGCGCTTGATTGAACAGAGGGAAGAGCTGCGTAACGTAATCCGTGGCCGTCATTTGTGCGGAAAAGTTCGCATTAACGAATACAGTGCCTTCGAAGGCATTCGTAACTGCAAGG